ATTGTGCTGAATAACTTTTTAATAAATATATAATAAATATCTCATATTCCGCTTATTAAAAACATTAATGTTAGAGTACCTAAAATATATTACCGGTACATAAGATGCAGAAAATACGCGTGGTTACAATGTAACTACTGACCTCTGCAAAAAACGATCCTCGGAAATAATAAATCCGAGTTATTCCAGTGAAAGTGATCAATTTTCTCAACCATTTCCCCGTCATCTCGAATCTTTTCAGATAGCACAAAACATTTAGTCAATTCAGCGCACTGGAGTCGGGCCATGATAATAGAGCCTATTGGCGGGGAGGGACAGTCATCACAAACATAAGCCATTAGCGTATTGTCCGCCTTCTTTCAACGGTGCCCCTTATTTTCTCGAGTTTTTTTGTTAAATTCTCATAACCCACGAGAAATACGCTACAGCAAAAATGATAACAATGGTTACGTACTCCTTTTACAATAAATGGCCCATTTCACGTTTATTTCGCAGACAATAAATACAGCCAATGTTCACGAAATTAATATCACTAGTCCGCAGGTCGATGGTATAATCTGAAAGTATAATTTAGGGCATCAGATCCGATGTTATAAGTCACATCTCATTTATTACACCTTTTTGCACGATTTTTATGCCGTTTTTTCATAGTAACGTAAAGATGTTTACGTTCATCATCCTTCTCTTTTTCCCGCAGTGGGTCGGCACAGGATACTACTGTTTTATACATTTCAGCAATTTGTAATAATAAATTTAGAACAGTATCATCCAATAAAACTATTACACGAATTCAAGCACAATACATATGTTTTTTAACAAACAAAGTGAGAAGTGTAACCGCAAGCTCGGTAGCGGTCGCGTGCAAACGACAGACGATAGCCGAGCGGATCCAACCATTCAGCTCAGAACAAAGCGCTCCTGATCTAATCAACGCAACAATACACCTCGGATTCACAATTTAGCTGCGAAACAAGCCGCTCTCCACTCGTGCCGACACGCCCGATATTTTAAATTACGAACAATATTACACGGCTCGGAAACAAACGAGTCCATTGTAGGCCGTGTGCGCCCGACAGCCGGCTCAGATAACATGCGACCTCCCCAACCAGCTCAGCTCCCGGAATGAACCTCGCGCACAACAATTAAAACGTTCATCTTGGCCACGTGTACTAAAGGACGAGTGAATTAACAAACATTGCTTTGATACTTGTTTTAATCAGAAATTTATTTGAATCTGGTGCCTACATCAATATATATAACCTTGCAAAAAAAAAACAATAATGTTTAGCGAGACACGTTTTTATTAAAAATCCTAACTTATCTGGATTACAGTCAACGTACAACTTACATAAGCAACAACACCTGGCGCCGTGAAACATGCAAATTGTGACACTTAACGTGGGCGACCAGAAAGCGACACGAAATTGCTCGTGTTACTGGAGCGAGAGACATTACGCGGATAATTTGGCACTGATGGCTTAATCACAGGCTCACGGGATAGACAATTGACCCTCTTTCCGCCCTGAAATATTGCCAGGGAAACGTTACGGTGTCGCCGAGGCGGAAAGCTGCTACAGGCGGTGGCGCAAGCCGGAACTGCGATAATAATGTTTGTTGCTGTTCCGGGGTAAAAATTGGGTTCCACTCGGTATAAGACTCATGCCCTTATCTTTTCAACATAAATAATATAACCTATTTCGTCCAATGAATTACGAAATTTTGCATTAATGCAAACCCGTAAAGTAGTAAAGAGTGAAGAAAAACATGATATGAAAAATTAACAAATATCCAATTGTCTTATTATGAGAAAAGAACTTTGCAATATGAAATTAAAAAAAATAATTCGACGCAATTGAATTTCTTATATCAATCGAATAGAAAGTAGCCCTTAACAATGACGGAAGGAATAGGTACATCTTATTTATTCGCTTCGATAGCTTTGATCTTCGACCCTTTGAAAAACGTCACTCAAGATTCACAGAATACGCTTAAGATAATGGTTTTCTGTTTAAGTCTTTCTTATTGGACGTCTGTGGAATTTGCATTTCAAATATTCTTGGAATATTTTTCATGAAAATCTTCTATTATACCAGCTTATTGCAGTAATTATATGAATTTATTCAAAGTAATGTTTTGCTAACTTCAAGGACTTTTCAATGTAAGGACGGTGCCAATGTTATTCCATTCTCAATAGGTACTCTCTATTTAAATGTTCTTCTACGTTTATATATAAAGTACTATTCGTAGTCTTTACTTTCGTTCTTGTAAATCTGTAAATGTCATATAATAATTAAATTTTGATAATTCTTGGAAGATCTCTACGAACATGTATTAATATATAAATGGGAGTAAATGTTCGACACGTAATACACCGAAGCGAAGGCTCCAGAGTTATCTGATAAATAATTAACAAAAAGTGAAAGCCGTCGCCTCAACATTGTCAGGTAACTAATTAATTTACTGTCAACTGATTGCTTTGACGACTGAACCTCATCAAGTGTAAATTTCAACGGCAGAGCAAAATTTGTAATAAAATTCAATAGCATGTTTAAAGCTCGATAATTAGAAGCAAAATAATTACCTAATTAATCAAATTATCATAAAAATCAGGGTAATGGGTTTTATATAAAGCGAAAAGATTAATGTGTTTATTTGTATACTAGCTGTCGCCGGTAACTCTGTTCGCGCGGAATTAAAAAAAAACATAATTAGTAGCTTGTTCTTACAGACTATGTTCTATATGTATGCCAATTTCAAACAAACATCCATCCATCTAAACATTCGCATTTATAATATTAGTAAGAAGTTGTTGTTTCCTACTATCCCGTACTAAGAGCGTGCTTTAATGTTGATTCAGTATGAGAAATATATACTAAGGGACCGCTAAGATAAACTATTCTATTGTGTGGAAGTTAGTTTTAAAACGAGCTGTAAAATATGACACTGTACAGGGGTCATTAAAATTGCGCAATGTGAGCGTTACTTTAATACTAAAGACAACAACTTCAAAACATTCATCGAGTTACAAGGGGGACTGTGCAACGAGCGTGCAATACAATAATACAAAGCACGTACTTGCTTCAACAAAGCTCGGCTGATTTAATCAACGTGTCAATACATAGACCCCTAGGATGTGATTATAACATGAGAGTTAATATTCACCGCCAGTCGTAGTTGATATTAAATTTATGTAAGCGCTCACGTCTTTAATGATGTTGTAAAATACAGCAACAAAGACTGTCAATTAACATCACGGGAACCGTCTGATCAACAGCCTTCTCCAAAACATTCAAATAGTGTTATTCCTTTACAAAAGAAAAAAAACAACTATCGCCATAAATGACTAGGCATTATATTTCCGTGGAGACGTTGATCATAAAAATATCATTTTATTATCCGATTTTAACTGTTCGATATTCGATTTGACATTGTAGTTAAGAATCAAAGTCAGTACGCTTTATAAAATTTTTAATAGCCCATTGTCGGCTCCAAATCAGCACTAGTTTCCTGTTAAGTTGTGGATTTAAATTTTCGACACTTGTATAAAATTATCTATCCCTCTCATTCTCTTTGAAGAAACAGAGACAATATGTTTTAAGTACAACGGCAGTGGAATTTCACGGTTACGTTGAGATGTGTCCTCATACAACATGATTTCGAATGACGAATGCGTGAATCACGTGATTTACCGCTCACCTACGAAACATAGGCGTCGCTTTTTGTTACAATTTATCTTGTAATCTAGCATTAGCAAACACTAAACTTATCTGTACGTACATGTTAATAAAAATGGAGCATCTGTATTTAATTTGGAAAAAAAATACTTCGTGCACATACTGTTTTTGCGTAGTTATCAACTAAACAACGAAACACTAATTTTTAAAATTTTTATTTGTCTGTCTGTTCGTACGTCTGTCCGCATGACAGCGATTGTTCAGGGCAATTTCCAGAACAGCTGAACCGATTTTGACGGGAAGGTAGCTGATACACACGCGCCTATTGCCCATACAAACAAACATTTTATAAATTGTTTTTTCGTCTTCAGTAACGCAGATACATCATGTGTATAAAAAGTAATTTTTTCTCAATATTACAAACAGACACTCTAATTTTATTGATATATATAAATAAAAGGTATTGTACAAGAGTAACTAATTAAACAAAGTTTGAACTAAGACAAAACAAAAAATTGTCAACAAAATATTTCTCCACAAGTTGTGGACAATACATTAATTGTTTGTTGTTAACAGACAGATACTTTCTTTGTCATTCCGTCAACTGTCTGATCATTCTGTAGTATACAATAACAAAACAATGTCCTTAACCTTAGAGGTTACTAAATATTTATATTCAGATTTATAGAAAAAACGTCCATTCCTCAATACAACATTGTAGCATACCCCACAATTTTAATACTTTCACTCACATAATTTTAAGCTTTAAGAAGTTCAATTATATTGTATAGGAACGATTTGTAGGACCTTATGTTGTTTGTTCTTCCAATGCATTCAAATTTCCTTTGTAATAGTTTCCAGGTCAAGACTCATTGAATATCTCTTTATTCTACAAAATACTTAAGCAGTATAAAAGTGTGAAATACAAGTAAACACACTGCAGAATTTAAATCCTCATCTATTTCATTTCCTTCACACGGTACACTTTTACTATACAGAATCCACAACTCACTAAACTTTAAAAATTAAAATCTTTAAATAGTGTCCAAACAAAGTTTATTTTAAACTATACCAAAACTACACACCATTTGAATGTAGGAAAATACATTAGAAATGTGTAAGGAACTGAAGAATAAACTTTAGGGTTATGTTTGTACCACAATAAGAGTTACTTAAATTAGGTGAACTTATAAAATTACTTAACTATTTTAGAGTTTTAAGAAACCCCTAATTATAAATGATGGAAGTAAAAGTTATCATCAAGTATAGTAAGACGAACATAGTTTCTTTCAAAACAAAAATAGTAGCAACAAATAGCACTGTTACCTTTAATGACTCCTCAGATTTGGTTACACTGCAGTCTAACACTCAAAACACACTTCTTTAACAAACACTTTCACTAAAGTACTTTTGATTTTAAACTATAGTACAATACTTTTATCATTAACTACTCACTTTTAAGCGTCAAAAACATTCCCAAACAAAACTCGACAGGCAAACTCAACACTGTTGTTCGTCATCCGCTGATTATGACTGCTCCGCAGATAATAATTAAAATTATTTTGGTGTTTTTAGTATAATCTCACTGTTTATACTTTTAATATTAAACATTTGGAATTTCAATAAGTAAATAAGGAATTCAATAGACGAAAGGGAATTAATTGTGAAAATGAAACTTTTAGTTTTATCTACCTAAAAAATCTTGTTTCTATTCTGAAACATAACATTTTGCAAAAAGGAGTTTGACTTTGACACTTTGAGTTTAACTTTGACATTTAATTATAGGTTAGGTTGTGTTGTTGTGGGTTTGAATAGAAGTAAATTGATTAAATATGAACTTTTCTATAATTAAAAGCGTTTGTAAACATGCCTCTGCTTTATATTACCAATCTAGATACGTAACATTTGCTGCTTTGTCTCTTCCGGTTAGAAGTATTCACACCACCCGATCCAACAATGATTTAATGGAATTTTTTGATACTAAAAAAAATTGGAGTGAGACAAATATAAGAGTAGGTAGAGCTTGGAAATTGGACGAATTAAGAATAAAGTCGAATGCTGATTTACATAAGCTGTGGTATGTACTACTTAAAGAACGAAATATGCTTTACACCATGGAGCATGAATGTAACGAGCATACACGGCTGTTTCCTAACCCTGAAAGAATTGATAAGGTTCAAGAGTCAATGAACAATATTGAGACAGTTGTCAGAGAACGCAACATTGCATACTATAAGCTAGAAACAGGTGAAACTGGCGAACGCCCCGTGGAAGATGTGATTAGTATATTTGGTCTACCTGAAAAATACAATAAACAAGAATACTACATACCCCAATTTATGAATAGCAGGTGGGTAAGACCTTATCTAGAACATGGATATATAAACAGTCGTGCTGTAAAGAAATTTTATAGACTATATAAAGAAAAACAGTACAATGAAGCAAGAAAAGCCCGAAACAGAGACTTCAATCATGTGCAACAGCTATTGAAACGTTTCCCGAACATGGATATGGAAAAGTTAAAAGCTGAATATCCAAATGTTGATATTGAAAAAGCAAAGAGAACCAAAAAAGCGAGAGGGCATTATATGCCATTGTACTAGTGTCATTTAAATTAATGTGTTAGAGTAATTATTATTTAATAAAGATAGTGTCATTGATAAAAGTATTTTATTTTTATGCAGAAATTAATTAGCAGATGGATTGCATGAATGATATGATTAAGATGATTATGGTATATAATGATTGAATTACACATGGTCTATTGTTTGGAGGATGAAACCTGTTGTAGTGTGTTGTACGATAAGGAGACAAGAAAAATTAGGTCGCAATATAAACTTATTGAGAGGATAGATACTTAGTTATAAGCATGACATTTATGACTAGACTGACATATTTCTTTATACAGTTTTTATTGGTCATCTTTGTATGTTATTTTTTAAAATAATAAAATATAAGCATCATATTTTAAAATGTTTATTTTCATTTATAATATAAAACTAAATTAAAGAGATAGAAAAAAAAATAGAAAAGTTTACAGATCTTATGAAAAATTCACTAACGGAGCTAGAAAATCAATTTTTTTAAACACTTTAAAACTGCTGGGAAGTGTACCATTATTTTTTACTTTGTTAAAATTTATTATAAGCTCTTTCAATAATGTATATATAGAACGATAATGTTTTATAAAGGGAACTGTTACATTGTATGTACAAAATTCAGATGATGGTTGACTTTTGTCAATATGGCTACCTTGAGTCAGATTTTCATTAAGTGAATCCAACACATTTTGGACATGTTGAACACTATATGCATCTAGACAAGCATTTAGTGTAATATATAAAGCAAACACTACATAACTTTGATCTATTAGAGAAGCATCTTTTAAAAAATTAGGATCAAATTTAGGGTATTGATTAAAACTTTTTGAAACTGGAAGATTTTCTTTATGTATCTTATGTAATATTTTTGATAAATAATTTGACATGCTTTTAACTTTTCTTATTTTTATGCTATTATCTAAAAACATTTCCAAGTCAATGTTGCTTGTTGGATATTTTGTCCATTGTGAATTTTCTAAAAATTCAATTACAATTTCTATTATGTTGTCTTTTGTTGTAGGTATTGTTGACTGTAAATGCAATGTTCCAAGAATATTTTGCATGTAAGTTGGTTGTACCCTTTGCAGTATTTTGAGTACTGACTCACGAGGTAGGCCTGAAATTTATGTAAATATATAGATGTGAATAAATTAATTGTATGTTCAGGGTATATAGATTACTTGAGTAAAGTGTTTTCTTTATGCACACCACACATTACCAAATATTAATAATACAACATATTATTCCTCACTCCTTGTAAAATAGCATAGCAATAGCCATGAATGTGTTATATTGCCTCTCAAAATCACATGGGGTAATTTTAGCCTCATATCAGCTATACATAATTAAAACATCTTCAAAACTTTTAGATCTTACCTGAGATAATCTTATAAAACTCTTTGGCAAATGCATTGCAATATTTACCAGTATTAGGATAGTCACTATTTGAATTATTTTCACAAATGTAAAAAGTTTGTATGATAGAGTTAAGCCACATCTACAACAAAAAAGGATTTTAAAATTTTAATACAAAAATGTTGTATTATGATTTTAGAAGTACTTACAGTCATGATTCTTATATGTTCCTCAGGATATGAAAGGTGTACCATGTAAGAAAATATTCTAAGAATTTGCCGACAATTGTTATTCACAGCCCCAGTGAAGAGAATATTGTCAGACCATAAAACAAAAGCCATTAATGGCCTGTGCGATCTCATTATGTGACACCCTGTATTATTATTGTACCTGGAATCGACAAGTAAATATTCATAAATTTTTAATGAAAAAAGTTAAATCCAACAATTTACTTGTCTACATTAAAGACTAATTTAAATTCAAAGATTTCTGTATTGAACATTTTAAGTTAAAATTCTCACCGAGATAACCATATCACTAAATCAAATTGTAACAGTTCAATAACACTTTCCAGTACAGCCATGATTCTATTAATCCTATCTTCTCTTTTTAAAGTTTCATATAATTCGAGTTTTTGTTTTTGCCAATGTAAGCCTTTAACACTATCTTTCATCTCTTCCGGAGTAATTTCATATTCATTAACTAAAGGTTCATCATTACTCTCTAAACTTAGTTCATATTCCAATCTATTCATGCAATATTTGACAACTCCTTTGTTGTATTCAAATTTATCTCTATTTGTAAATGTATTATCTTTTCGATCCATTGATGATGTTAGGAAATCAATATAACATTTTCTAATGGTCTTCATTAAGCATGGTGGATGGGTGCTAAATTGTTGTGAAAGAACTTGTTGACATTTTTCTAATAAATATGACACTGTGAAATCTTCATCTGGATCATCATGAGCATTCTGAAATTAACAAGTTTGGACAGAATAATGTTAGACGGAATTTTATTGGAAAGTTGATAAGAATAATCTTTGTAAGATTTACCAGCATTATTTCCACAATATTCTTCAGAATATTTGCAGATAAATATTGATCAGGTGTCAGGCATATAAAGCATACTTCCAATGCTTCACACCATGTACCTGATTTGATTTCTATATGAAATGATTCCTCTGCATATGATGGTATCTGATTTATGTTTGGCTGAAAATTTTTATATTTATATAAAGCAACATCCTTTTTTATATTAAAAGAATATAGCAAAATCATATATACATAATAAAAATATAGCTTGCTTTAAATAGATGTATTTCTTAAGTTATCGTCAAACTTACTGAATTTTTAACATTTTTGTGATTGCAATTACTTCCATTTATACATTGAGGTAGGTACACTAATTTAAATCTTTTAGCATAATTATAATACTCCTTATATGACACTTGTTCACAAGCTTTAACAAAGTTTTTTCTTTTCAATGCTCTTAGCTCTTCTTCTGACAAACAGTTTTCTGAATTATGTGGCTTATTCTGATCATCTACGTTCTTTTCGTTTGTAAGTTTCATTTCTCCTTCTTCATTGCTGCTCACTTTTGTCTTTTTCCTTTTTGGGCTCATGTTAGAGTTGTAGTAGTTCCAAAAAAACTGGTACTGTACAGGAACATGACCCCACTGTTTATTGTTTTTGAATCAAACAATTTATTTTGAATTATAAAAAGTTTTGACAGATAAAAGCTTTTGAACTGTGTAGGAAGTGTGACCAGTTTAAAAAGTAAAGTTTGTTTATGACAATTCTGATACAATATTAATCTTCTTGCTTCTCTTCGCTGTTTTGGCGAATCAAAGAGCAGCTTGCTAGTTTGCTACCTTACAGTAAAAAAAAATCATTGTAGGTATCAGTCGCTCCTTCGTAATAACTAACTAAATGTCGCTCGCGAATCTGTCAGCGTGGGATTGAAAAAAAAATATTTGGCCTGTGTTTTTCCAGACTACGTCTGTCATAATATGTTTTACATTTAAACCTAAGAGCGAGTTTCGTTTAGCCGATATCTTAACAAGTATCCATTTGCATTTATAATGTCAGTAAGATAAGATATAAATATAAAATATTAGAAATAGAAGTTACAATTAAGCGCGGTAAATTCCGTAAAATTCGTTTTATTCACTCAATGATTATGCATGTTATTAGTACAAAATTTAAAATTTCTCCTTTATCCTTTCACAATATTCAGATTATTTGATATTTGTACATTTTATCAGAACAGTTTGGATTTTCAAAATATTTAAATACTTGTAATAAACTGATTTAAAACAAAACTTTCAAGGGAGATTGAAGGTTAGCCCTAAACTATATTGAAGATAAATCAGGTTCCTTTACATTAAATCATAGAAGGTACGAGTAATAGGCACCGCAGATGTGTATGCAAAAAGTTGTGATAAAATTTATAATATAATTTTATGTAGCTTGCATGACATAAAAGATTGTTTTAAAAAGATTGCAAATTCACAAAGTTTCAGTCAACAACCTACCTATGCCGAAAACCTAGAAGGTTAAACAGAGATTCAGGATTTCCATTTGGAGCATGCCACATCCACATTACAAGCTCCCCGATTTTAGTGACACATAAGAGAATTGAAATTGATCTCCTAATGAGTAAATTCTTACGACTAAAATAAAATATATTATCCCTTCTTATTCATAACTAGATTTTTTTCTCTTGCCATTATTTCCTCTATTATCTTACATTACATGTTCCTATATTGTTTTTTTTCGTAGATTAGTTAACAAGAGTCATTAAATTATTAGTGAGAGAATAATATGCCTATCTGTACTAGTTAAATTTATCGTGTTCACTGAAGTAGTGCCAAATATTGAAAATTATTGATTCATTGTTTGTACGCAACCGAATTGAATAAGTTTGCAATTGCACCCATACTTTCTTGAATAACTGTCGCTATAAAACCACAATACCCTCGGCTTCGACAACAGTCCTCGAGGGAAGAGCGTGACAACACAATATCCAAAAAAATTCAACGCGATGGCTGCTTACTTTAAGGTACTTTGGCAAAACATTATTAGGGTACCAGTGTAAAACTTTTTAAAGATTTTTGCACGAAAAGTTAAATTTTTTCAAAGGATTGTTTATACGCGAAAATAATTCCTAAAAAAATCCTACATATTTAGATAATAATTATTGATTTTATAATTAACTAGCGGTTGCCCTAGACTTAATCAGAGCAGAAGTAAAAAAGTCTATGTGCCCGCGTTCATCAGCTATCTTCCTCTCAATCGGTCCAGCTGTTCCGGAGATTATCCGATTATACCGACAGACAAACAAAAATGTTAAAAATTTGATTTTCGTTATCAGCAACGCAAATACATCACGTGTACGAAATATGTTTTTTCTTGACATTACGTACTGACATTCCAATTTCATTAATAATATTGATATTCAAATATTACCAGATTCAACGTTAAGATTTATTATTTATTTAAGTTTCATGAATGATTTTGAAAATATTGATACAATTGTGAAATAATTATTGACATAGAATTTTCATTGCCATTGCTATTGAGTAACTTTCTTCTGTAGCAGTTGACCGTGAAGGTCGTCACACTTTTTAGCATCCGCCGTTTGTAAGATAACGTTTTTTTCGATCAGTGTACACAATTTTTAACCTCCATAGTGACATACTTTTAGTTGATCTATTTAACAAAGAATCATTTGAAATAGAATATAATTTAAGTAAAATAACAAAGTGTATCTAATAGTCTGTATTCTCATTATAGGTGTTTGTCATGGTGGCTTTTGCTTCAAGTGTGTCATCGAATCAGGCTCCTGGTGGTTATTCGTATAACAGATTTAGTGGTCCCGTTAGTGGGCAAATAGTAGAAGTCGAAGTGCCAGCTGCCAAAAATATTGCAGCCCAAGAACACGCGAGCTACGGCTACGATCATAACGCTGGTCAAATTGATCCTGAAACTGCAAAGTACGCCCGCTTGAAAACCGTCGACTATGTGGTAAGACATATTTTTTGTATACTTCTATTGGTAACTTCTTACTTAAAATGTTTGATTACAATATTATGCTGTAAATTCTTATTTAAATGTATTATTTTTATTATATTATATTATATTATATTACTCCTTGCTACATTGAATTATTAAAGTAAGCTACTTATGTATTGTATTTACTTAATCAAAATCTTATAATTTTAATGTTGTTTATTCAGGTAATACTTATGTACTACATCGTGTTACATCTATATGTATTGTATTACAGGCAAAACCTGATTATCACTACGCGTACGGAGTAGACGATCCTCATACAGGCAATCAACAGAACCATAAAGAGCAACGTGAGGGAGATGTTGTTAATGGAGAGTATTCTTTAGTCGAACCTGATGGTTCTCTTCGTATTGTCCGCTACACCGCTGATCCGAAAAACGGATTCCAGGTAAGAAATGTTTCAAAATATACCAGCTAGATTGTTAAAATTCTTTGTCAATCAAGGCGGTGACTTATCTGCTGTGTCTTAACAAATCGTTGATGAGATGAGATGTCTAAACACAATAAACGGTAATATTGATTACCGTGTTTTCAGTATAAAAAAACTGATTTCAGTTGCCGTGAAATGTAGGCCAGTAATATTTTGTAATTTTATAATTATGAGTAAATTTTTGAGGAATTAGTAATAATTGTCTGAGTAATAAACTTAGATTAGCAATAATAACAACAATTGGTATTGCTTTGGAGATCAACGAAACACTTAAAACGCTGAAATAATTCATGTTGATGTTGATAGCCACGTTATCAACGTTTCATTCATCACCTAATGCTATTGTTAAGATTACATTTTTAAATAATTATTTGACTATAATAATGCTTACAATATTATGGAACAGAGTCCACCTTGGTAATTCAAACTGCTATAACAATAACGTACTTCTGGAAAGTGGAAGAGTAACAATTTTAAAATAAGAACTTAGAGTTGTCCCTTTTTATCGATTAGTTTCCTAAACATTTATGTTTTACTTATAATTCTGTTGTTCCTGCAGGCAACAGTACACAAGCAACCTGCCGTACAAGCTCAGCAACAGCAGGTAGAACAACCAGTTCACTACGGTCGCAGAAATCAGGATGATGATGATTCCAGAGAGTACTAGTCTTAATTATTTTATAAGTATTTCGTTTGTAAGTGTTTTAGTTTTGTATTGTTGATTATTTATGAAATATATTTAAGTTTTTGAAATAAATAAGCTTAAACCAAGTTTAAAATCTCTTTTCTTTGAAATGACTATCAGCATTAAGTGTTAACGTTAGTTTCCTATCAAATGAAAGTAAAAAGTTATCGTATTCTATTATAAAAAAGCCGAAAGTTAATAACATTTAAATAATAAATCGTTGTGTAATTTCATTTCACAACATTATTTAACTTATATTATGAACACATTTACAAAATATCTACATAAGTGAAATTTATTTTCGTTTGACTTAAATTGGTAATGACGGCGACATGCTTGGTCCCGCTCCACCTAAGAATGTCCTCAAGAAATCCATGGGGAATGGGAATATGATCGTGGAATTCTTCTCTGCTGATATCGTGTTCAGTGATTGCAGATATCGTAGCTGAAAAAATAAAGAAAATACAAATGCATTAGATACGCACATGCGTAGAACATCGCCAAATTTTTGTTCGCATAGCTTACCGCTGTAGACGTAATTTATGGATTATGAGTTAATTTTTAAATAACACCTCTTGCCTAATTTCTGTTTGTGTTTAATTGAGTCACGAACTTCACATATTTCAAATAAGATATTGCGTCAGTTGACTTACTTGCAACGCCATAGGATTGTCAATCATGACTAGTGAAGCTTCTTTTAGCGCCTTTGATGCTTTTATTTCACCTTCAGCGGCTATAATCTTTGCTCTTGCTTCTCTATCTGCTTCTGCTTCGGCCGCCATTGCTCGCTGCAGTTGCACTGGTAATCTTACATCTTTGCTAAAAATACAGTTATTGTTACACTCGCCTTTTTCTCATTAAAAAAATAAAGGTACGGTATTTTTGTCGCGGTCTGATATTGCTTAAGGTTCAGGAAAACATAGCAACGTTATTCAAAGATGCGTGTAAAGTCAACCAATCCCGAGTGAGCTAGCATGTTTGATTAACTGAACTTTCGGTGTTGTTGTATGTCACATGTGAGAGCGAATGCGATGAGTATTTACTACGGACGAATCCAAGTACTAACATTTCAACTCGTTCAACTTCAACGCCCCAGGGATCGGTGGCTTCGTCAAGATTCGCCTGCATCATGTGGCTGATGGCCTCACGGTCCGACAGCAGCTGCGCCAGGTCACGCATGCCTAGGACGTTTCGAAGTGTTGTTGCAGCTAACAAACGTGTAGACGCACTGCAAAGTTAATGAAATACATGTCATTACATTTTTCAAACAACTTGCTAGGCTTAACAATATGCGTCATACTACGATGTGATTTTATACAACAATTATTAAACAATTTCTTAGCCCTTTCATAAATTTTCCGATGAAAAAGATTCTTGGACCTGATCTGTATCTGCAATCTGCATTGTATCAATTGTAGTGTGAACGTTCATGTAAAAAATATGTCACCTGTAATCTGCTACTCGAACAACTGCATTTAATGGTTCTTTTATTCTGTAATACACTACAGCGTCAACAGCAACTGTTACGGAGTCCCTCGTAAGAACCTTTAAATAAAGAAAAACAATACAGTACCTTGTATGTTTGCATATACCCATAATTACTGTCCTGACATTGTGTTTAACAAAATAGAGTATCAAATAAAAAAAAAAACTTAAATACATTAACAAAACTATATATTTTGACCGTACTATAAAATTCAAGATTTTGGCATAAAAAATTGCTGGACAGATGTTTTTTTTTCTGTAACGCAATTAAATTCCGAATTGCTGTCGGATTTAATGTCGGTAGCCATCAATCCGGCTGACAAATTAGGTCGGCACCGTGCAATATCCGTTCACGAATACTGAACATCTGACTTGTTTAAATAAACACAGAATTATGATATTAACTATTTATTTATAGACATTTCGATTGAAAGAAATATGTAAATACAATATTTCAATCTCAGATTTTCAATAAAATCTTAAAAGATAAATTAAATAACGAAACGAGCTGAGTAGAAGAGAAAAAGGCATAGAAAGAAGTTAAATAATTTAATTGGAGTTAGCTTGCTATATGTTTCTGACAAAATTGAACAATGCATTGTAAATCGAACAATGATTTTATGTGTTCTGGTGCATATTTTTGGTTGGCAAGTGGAGCCGACGACCTAACTCCACTTCAGTCAGTCCGTGTGCATGCACAGTTTGACGTATAATGACGTGTATCAAGTAAAGATTCAGAATAATTTCAATCAGACCACGTCGAGAAGTTATTAATAGTAGCGATGAGAATTACCACAAATACTAACAAGCTCGCGAAACATGTGTTGCTTTTTAATATACCTAATGATTTTAGGGATTCTTTGCAGCAATTGTTACGAACAGTAAACTAGCTTTATTAGTTCACTTGTTAGTTACTCTTAATTATGCTTGCCACTTCTATTTTACTTCAGCTTTCATAAATCTATTTACATCGTATTAAAATTTAATTTCTTCAAACTGTATCACGGCATAAAGTATTAATAGATGCAATGTAATGTTAGTTCGGATCCAGACGATTGGTAAACAATAAGCGATTGTTTGTGCGTTGTAAAACTTTGATTGATGCTTTACAGCCGCATCAATTAATCGCGGCCCATCGCACGCGGTGTGAGGAACATCTGGGTTAACGGTTTTCAATACCAATGCCGCTGTACAACCGTTCGCGTATCTTGTTTCTTCTTACGCATCACCATGACTTCATCAAGCATATTTCTTTTTCTGTTCTCATTTGTTGGGTTAATTTCAGATATGAGTATGCATACGTCGATGTATGAATGTGGTAGAGACGGGAGATGTGTGGCAGCAGCGTACTAAATCCATTACTATTCCCATCCCTCAGGGTTACATCCGTGAATATGTTAATATGCCCCTTTATGAAAAAACTTGTAATCTAGTTTTGTTGTTGTATAAGAAAGATATTCCTATATCGATCTCATCAAAAATTATCATAATTCTTTCGGATATCCGAAATAAATAATGCAATTTTTATTACCTCCTGTGGTGGAACATCAAAAGAGACTGTTCTCAAATCGACTTTCCTGTAAGTGTCGACGCAAGGTAGCACGAAGAATAGACCAGGACCTCTCGCTCCGCCTTTCCGTACTCGACCTAATCGGAATATTACTGCTCTTTCAAACTCTTGGACAACCTGGAAAATTATCACAAAGACATTAAAGTTGGGATATAACTTTACTATAAATTAGGCTTCGTTACTATTGGGTGTCTAATAAGCTTAAACAATTATTAGCTTTATGTAGAAATAAAAGCTTTTTAAACATTCAACAGTTCCGGGATGCCTTGTGTAGAGAAAGAAACAAACAAGCACACATACAAATAAATAAACGTATATATGAAGTTATAAACTACTAAAAAGCTATTATTTATTGAATAAATTTTTATGAAATAATAATATTAAAATGTTTATTTTAGAAATCAATTAGATCAGATCGCTGCGCCCGCAAATAAATTTGCTATAAAATGTTTTGCACGCCTGTTTTGTACACAAATAAAATACCAAAATAGTTTAATTGGCTTCACTTGCAGAACACTGAGGTAATTTTACTTGCAGCAATGGACTCCGCAATCTGTTTACGTTGAACCAATCTAAGCAAGTATTTTAAACAATTAATGGTTTATTTACTTTTAAAATTTTTAAGATATTTTCAATGTTTGAAATCTTGTATTTTTCAAACACTACATTTACCTGATGAATGAAATAAAGTTATTTTTACTATTACGTTGTGAATGTTTGTACGTTTGTTACAACAGAACTGATGTGTATTTTTCATGTGTGGCAACACGACAGTATAATACTATGTCATAAATATGATAAATCAGAGAAATATAAAACATACTAGTTGCGCCCGGGACTCCGTCCGCGCAGAATTAAAAAAAGTTCTAACAAACATCTATCCATTTATCTAAGCATGCGCATTTATAATATTAGTAAGATTACTGAAGTAGAACATGCTTTTCTATCTATTGTTTGTCTTTTTAATGTTAAAACAATGTTAGTATGTTACGCACATACACCAAATATAATTTGTGGTAATTTCACCTTAAAGCATTCAAAAAGTGAAAAGGGGAATGTAATTATGACCAGAAGAAAGGAGAGGAATGTCGCGAATCTCTCAACACATCCCACTGCCTCAGGATTCGCTGTCAACAATTAAAATATTTATAAGATACGTAACGAAACTAAAGTAATAAAAAAACATACTTCTTTAACTATATTTTTGCTCTTCAATAAAAGAACGTATCCAAAATTATGGCATACAATTATATTGATAATTTCTTCTAAATTCCACGAAACTAGGTTAAGACAAGACGTTAAATGTTCCCTTACTATCATAGTACTTACGCATTTGTATCGTGATAGCGCAAGACGTACCCGTATCACAATCTAAAACGTTTCAATGCACAGGTATTAGATTAATGAAAATTATTGTATCATTGAACAGAAATTTTCGCGACGACGATTTACTTACGACTGGGTACATTATCGCGCCTAGTGGTATGAGATCTCAACTCTGTTTGCATATTAAATATATCTAATCTATTTGTTTAATTAATACACCAGCTAATCGAAATTATAAACGCTCATAACAGCGTATTACTCGGCTAACAATCGCAGACTGCGCTAACTTACTGTCAGAAGATGTTTACCCGACCCAAAAAAAAAGCCGATTCCTAAAAATATCAATTACATTTCGTCGTCCCACAACAATACTCTGTTTGTAAATCAAGAACGTAATGTACTTTTAGTTTATAATTATTTACGTATTTCAAGGTAGCACTCCACTTCTCCCGAATCCTTGTCGTAGCAACCGAAATCCATGGAGTATTTGACACCGCGCAGTGTATAGCGCATTGATTTGTTAAGATCGTTGGTAAGTGGTCGCGATGTTAGCTACCCGGTGTCTGTAGGGACACTAAGAAGCCGAGAAGCATGGAAGATCAGACTTATGCCTACAATAAATAAATAAACGCACTTTCAGGCATAACGTCGAGCGAGCACGGCCGCACACGCCGCTGCTAACTACAAAATTGTTGAATTTAGGTATTCCCGAAACTATTCACTCCGTTACGATACTTTATAAGAGGATGTTTAGATAATAACTAACTAATACAGATGTTAGTATGTTTATGGTAAGAGTTGCCAAAAACTTTGAAATATGTAAATATTTGTTATATAATTTTAAACAATTACAAACAGACATTTGTGTGCTAATTACTTCTACACTAATAATAGTAATAATATCGTATAGTATCAATATTTATCGAAACATCTAGAAATACTAAAGTAATCTCTTTCACATTTAGAACGGAATACATATTAAAAATTTAAATAGCAATAATTTAATTTGTTAACTATAAACATAACAGTGAATCCTAAGACAAATTTAGTTCAAAGTCATTCCTTAACACATCTGGTGAATATTATTGCTCTCGCTTTTTATTGGTATCTTGTTCTATATTAACAGTTAACTATAGTTTACCCGAGTTAAGATTACATTGTCTAAGCATTTGTATTATAACATTATGTTGTTATTTTGTTTTGTTTCATTGTCATCTTACTTCAAAATATTACAAATATTATAAATGCAAAAGTTTAGATGGATTTATGTTTGTTTGAAGGTATTTCCAGAACGATGCGTGGATCTTGCTAAATTTGGGATAGATGTAGAACATAGTCTGGAAGAACACATAGGCTACTTATTGCGTGTTTCTTTAATTCCGCGCGGACGGAGTCGCGGGCGACAACTAGTTATTTCTTTAAAGATAGATATCCACACTTAATAGATTCTATTGACAGGAAATCCATGTTTATATTTATTCCTTGCAAAGGATTCATTATAGTGATCTTTAACAAACCGGTGTATCGTCTTGTGCTCATTGAGGCCACTTGTTTTGACCTTTTAAATGTTTATGTCATTTAAAGTTACTGATCATTAGCGGTATATTTACACTCTACTCGTCAATCTGTCTTATACTAATATACTAACTATTAATCTAGATGTATATAATATAATATAATTGATGATATGTTAGAAATATTACCTACCACTTTCACACGCTTTGTTACGCTAAGATGCATTTTTACCAGTCAAAAAGTATTTGAAGTAACATAAAATTTTATGTGTTTTTATTTATACCATTTAACTTAGATAGCTTACTGCAACACACGGTGTCTTTAATTGCTATTTTTAGCATAAGGTGACAAATGAACAAGCAATTTGAATTCGTCAAAATAGCGAAGGGACCGTGACCCAGAGACGTCTGCATTTGCAGATGCGTTGCCTACCTTTAAACGACAGAGGTGACACAGAAATATGTTCATATATATGAAATACGAAAGATGTTTCATCTATGTGTCCCTCTGCCAAGTTCGCTTTTCCATCAATTCCCTAGAAGAAAAGGGTGGGAAGAAGAGGTTAAACGCATCACTAAGAAAGGCCTTAATTGTAGATTTGAAATCTAGATTAACAGGGACCATTTAAAGGCTTTGAGTGCGGCAGTAAATGTGTCTCTGTATCGTGTTAGGGTTATACGGTCATTGAAACAGTTTTTATTGAGTTACATAATAAATGATCTACAAGGCAGGTACATTAGTGATGTAACGTTCAATTACAAGGCACTAGGTATCCTATAGTATAAGTCTGTAATATATAAGAGACAGGCGTTGCCTAACATAAATTAAGTTTCATTGTTATTGTTGTATAATAGAAGAAAATGTTTATGATTAATATTGTTTTCATAATGTACCTAATATTTAAAATTGTTTTTTTTTATAACAGAAGGGGGCAAACGAGCAGCGGGAACACCGAGGTGTTCAACGACGCCCTTGGACATCAGCAATACCAGAGGAACCGCAGATGCGTTGCCAGCCGGCGTTTTCATTTTACATCGTTTTTTTGAAGAAGCTTAATCAGTTAATGTGTTGGGATAACTATATGTAAGTCTTGTCGTTTACAGCGGTTTAAATTATTATGGGTGTGGTATGATTTTATATTAGTTACTAGCTGTCGTCCGCGACTCCGTCCGCGCGGATTGAAAAAAAAAATATTGGTCGTAGCGTAATGGTATATAGCCTAAGGCCTTCCTCTATAAATGGACTATACAACAAAATAAAGAATTTTTCGGAAAAATCGAACCTGTAGTTCATGAGATTAGTGCGTTTAAACAAACAAACAAACTCTTTCGCTTTATAATTTTAGTATAGGTTTTTCATCTATCATACAGGTTGCAACAGATAGTTTATAATTTATCGACATTATCTGTCGCATTAGTTGGGTGGTTGACAATAATAAACTGGTACGATTTCTCAAACGCGCACTATATTGGCAACAAATTTAGGTTGCACCACAACTTCAAGGCGTACCAAGACCGAGTGAGAACTGGTAGAAATTACAACATTATAGGAATGTCGAGCAAATACTAGACTGTTCGTATCAATACAAAATAAATGTAATGTCTATTTCAATCAGGCCTTATGTGGTTAATATTTAAGTTCTTTTTTTTCCGTTAACTGTTGGTACTGGGCTTCATAAATTACTTCAATTAATTTATTTTTTATATTAAAAGGTGGCAAACGTGTAAGTGGCCATATGAATTCTCTAATATGGCGGAGTGACCGTTGCCTATAGACATCTGTATTTGCAGATGCGTTGCCATTTAATCGATAGAGGAAGTTGTGAGTAGGTATTTCCAAATACAGATAATGCAAAAGTAAATAATAAAAGGCATTTAAATATTTTTTAAGGCACATACACACACATTTTTTGATATTGAACACCGTTCAAGCCAAGCGCATTTTTCACCCGCCAAATATTCTAACCGAAAAGGAGTGTAATGAATACTATACTGTCTATGTTATATTTTGAATTCAAATAATATCAAATATATTTTGTACATTGTATGTCGCTTACCCAATAACTACATAAGGCTGTAAATACCAACAGAGTTATAAATAAAAACATTTTTTTATCTATAAATACTTTAATATGAAAATGGAGACAGTTATTTTAAAACAAAATATTTGTGTTAACTTTTTGGTATTTATAATCTTTATTTAGGCATATTTCTTGTCATCGAAATTTCAATTAGTAATTAGATTTTTAATTATTATTTTAAGAGCTATGCTTGTAGCGTGCTCTAAATGCCTATAGTATAAAAACCGTTCAGCGATTTCCTCAGTCATTTGTGTTCCGTAAAAGTATTTGATTGTAAAAAGTGGACAAACATGTTTGTGTTAGTATTGCGCAGGATACTAAGATATAACACTGATTTATCTAGAACACGTTACTCTGATAAGTTTATACGTAATTTCAGTAATTCGCTTGTCAACCACTTATAAGTATATGAAACGACTGACGTGAATTTCCGACCGACTTAATGATATCTATCTTAATTTTATTCCTATTTAATTAGATATAAATATATTTCATGCATACAACATGAAGCAACAACTATATTTACTTACTAATTTTACATAAACAGTCCTCTACAATGGAAAGTTAAAAAGTATTAAAGATAGAACAAGTACCTAAGTGTTTTAATGACTCTTAACAACCAAATATGTAAATTTTCTAAATAATAATATAGGAATGAACTGCATTAATTGCTTTTACTGTGAAAATAATTTCTGTGATGAAAATTTAATGTAAAGCAAACAGTACACTTTATTCGTAAACATATTTTTATACAATATAAATAAGTGTGAAGTAAAAATGCGTTATCATTTATTCACAGGTCATTTCAGATATCAACTAGGGGTGTCTACTTCTGATACTTTTGATTGATGGATTGAAATGTGTTGTACAGATTACATTACTTTATTAAGTTAAATCATTTTGAATTCATAGGTTATAGTCACCCCTAACTTAGAGGAGCTGACGATATCGAGCTGAGGAAAATCATTGTGAATTACATGGAGTGTCCATTGACGAAACATATGTGCATAGTAAATAGTTATTCTCTCATTATTTTCGAATAAACAAATATAACAGTATGCTCAGGTGTTGGCAATGGCAAATGTACCATTATTTGAAACTAGTACGTACCAGTGCATCCCCTTTGTTAAGCAAAAGTGCTTTGCAATTACAATAAAACCTGCTCTATGGGTCATTCGAAATAAAAAGGGAAGCTCTATATTGTGTAATAAAGTTTAATAATTATCAATGTCAGTAATACAATTAATTTTTCTTAATATTTTTCTATTGATCAAATTATTTTTACTAAAACTGATGAATTTTGTGAACCCTACTTTTAGAGCGTAGAAATTGGTGGGGCCCTATGTTTAAAAGCCTAGGACTAGAGGTACGTTGATGATAACTTAGTGTGCTCGTGTGTGATACTGTGCTTTAACTTGAAGTCATGTGGGTGAGTTTACTTACAATTTAATAAATATTATAAGAAAAAATTAAAAGTATAAAAATATTCGCATATACTGCATTATCAGATTATGATTTTTGAGTAATTTTTTTTTTAATTTCTACAAAAAGCTTAAAGATTTTTCATGATTTTTTCTGTCTTAAGATTATTTAAATAATTAAAGACATTTTGTCTGCATTCGCAATTTTCATCGTATTTTTACATATTCGCTTACATTAACATCTTAGTCAGATAAAAAGGTATATCTTTTAAAAATTAAAACAAATCTAAATTAATAAATTTTGTTAAAGGTGGTTCTTGAAATTATGTGAAGACATATTAGCGTGGGATACCACTGCCTTAAAAGAACTTGTTGACATCAAACGATTTCTCACAATTTAATCTTAAATAAAACGATTAATAAAGATGTCTGTACTGCATAAATTATTTAAGAGTTGAAATAAAAATAATATGTATTTTTAAATTAATCTGGTATCAGATGTGATTTCCTTTTTCATAAATCTGTCATAATAGGTTGTCACAAAATCTTTGAAAATTAAAATGTATGCGCGAAATCAATCTACTCGTATTTTTCCCCTTGAGTGTGATGGAAGTGTAATCAGTTGAGATTATATTTTTTTAAATAGTTGAGTTTCATACCAGCTCAAACGGCGTTGAAAGAACGAAAGATTTTATACCATTTTTATAATGTGTAAGCTGGCGCTTGACCACGATCCCACTTGATGAAAAATACCCACACGTTATACTTTGATGGAAACACCAAAGCCGCCAGCTTATGTCACCGCTTTGCTGTAGCAATGTACAATGAACGAACCATTTCCACTAAAGTATTAGTCATGCGATTTCTATGAGCAATATCATCTATGAGGTATCATTTCCACTAGCATGACTGAAAAAAATTGTATATAATGGAAAAGGGGTTTATGATCTCAATTTTTTTTTTAGTTCGCTATACTGCTGGCATGTATGAGCGGGGCGCTCGCTGTGCCGATCGATTACGGTGGTTACGGTGGATACGGCGGTTACGGTGGCGCGGTGTATGCGCAAGCGCCGATCGCCCTGCAAACAGTACATGCTGCACCTGTCGCTGTGCAAGCAGTCCACGCGCCTGTCGCTGTTGAGACCGTGGTAAGAGACATCAGGACACATGTGTATAGAACAATTGCAAAAATATGTGTACAATCTTTAGAAACTTGAACAATAATATATTCGTCAATTACTTGTATTCATTCACATTTTCTGTCATTCATAAGAACTTTCGTGATAATCGCCAGAATTAAGAAGATTAAGGAATATTTTTCATATTTTTCCAGTCGTACCCGAAATACGCGTTCTCGTATGGCGTGAAAGACCCGCACACCGGCGACGTCAAGACACAGCAGGAGGAGAGAGACGGTGATGTTGTCAAAGGTACAATAAACAAATTTTAATGTTGACAACATATGAGTACAACATTTCCAAAAAAGAAAATGGAATTAAAATTCATGAAACTTTAAAGAACTTTAATTGGAAGGAGATGGAAAGACGGATTGAAATGAGAACGTCTGGCCGTTGTTCAGTCTTGGCTACCTATATAGTACCCGAAATTTAAGTAGTTTGGCACTTCGGAAGGAAGGATTCATCGATTTTTATTCCGTTCATCTCTTCCAATATATTAATCCATATGTTTAATTTCACAGGTAGTTACTCGCTAGTGGAGCCGGACGGTACGACCCGTACCGTCCACTACTCGGCGGACGACCACAGCGGTTTCAACGCGGTTGTGCAAAAGTCCGGCCACGCCGTGCATCCGGTATGTATAATATCTTCTTGACATTGTGCCACCTTATGCAAACTTTGCAATCTGTACAGATGTAACTTTACTCCATCCTTATACTTATACTCCATCTTGCAAAAAGGTTAAGGTTCTTGCATTTAGAATTTTACTTAGTGTTGTAAATTCATAAAGTCTTAATTAAGCTATTTTACTACGTATAGTTAGCACTTAATTTATTTTTGTGTCTAGATCGGGTCACTGTATAATATTTACAAAACTAGACAATTCAATCAAAATGAAAATATCGTGTTTAACCTTCTCGTATTGAATTCTTCAGAGAATTAAAGAATTTTCATTAAGTTAAGATAACAATATTATATTGTTGCTTGCACATGTTTTTATTTTCCGGACTGCTTGTTTTGAACCAAACATTACACAGACTTGATTTCTCTGTCGCTCGAGCAAGAGCCGGTGTTGTTGCGACAGGCATGGTGCGTCATCTTAGAAGAAAACATGGATCTTGTCCTAGTTTGGCTGTACGATTTTTTTTGCCAATAAAAAAATGCTATTGGCATAGAAGTGTGATGAATTTAAATTGCCTCATAACCCTTTTAGATCACTATGGAAATAGTAACTTTAAAGGTTTATTCTATGACCTGATTCAAAAGACAGGTCTAGTATCTAATGTGGCACGAACACACCTACGCACTGTTCATGAATGTAAATATGAAAGTTTTTACAAGTCAGTCCAGTCTTAGCAATAAATACTTTTTTGGTTTTTAAATTATCACAGTCAAACATTTATTAGATGCGTCATCGGTGATAGAATATTGAGTCCTAATTTGAACACACTTTATATAGACAAAGATAGTTGTCATCTTATCATTTTGTTACATACATTCTCATTGATATACCTTTTATATTTATTACGTTCTTGATGAATAACTAGATGTAGTTAAATTTAAAATCATATAACTGTTTTGTGTCATTTTATCGTCTATATTCTCTATGGGTTGATATTTCTGAACGTGTGGTATGTAAGTTTAAATTCTTTTTAATATTATAAATGCGAAAATTTAGATGTTTGTTAGAAGGTATCTCTGGAATGGTTAAACAGATCTTGATGAAATTTGGGACACATGTAAAATATAGTTTGGAAGAACGTATAGGCTACTTATTAAGTTTTTTTTTTATTTTGTTCAAAGGGAGTTGCAGATGACAGCTAGTTTAGGATATAATTAATTAATTTGTTGTTTATTTTACTTATTGTTTAATAATTTCTTTGCATTACAGCAAGTGGCAGTTGCTCCCGTGGCACACTACGTCGCAGCGCCATCCTACGCTATTTCCCCACACTCTTATCACTAAGTTGGATTGATTGTTTAAAATTATCACATTATATTTGACGAATAATAGTTAGTTTTTAGGATCGTAAACAGAGTTGAAAGGCTTTTAAGATTAGTTTCCTGTTTTTGAGCTTTTTTTTTGGATATAATTTGAAATTGTTTGCTATAAATATTATTTTAAAGGTTTGGTAAAGTTGATAAATTAATTAGTCTTCATCTTCCTGTTGCATAGTCTTTGTTTGTCATTATTTTAATTTACAGCAGTTTCCTATAGGATAGGATGTTTTGATGAAATTATTATGTGTGTTGAATGATTTGTAAAGATAAGAAAATTACAGCATCTAAAGTACAATGAAATCCTGGGTGTATTATAGAATTATCGTTTTATAAACGGCTTAGCATGTAAGGTTTTAATTTGTCAAAGATATGAATGTGCATCAATATGTTATACGGTTAATACAATATGTTCTATACAATTGTGTGACTTATTTACAATTTTCCCCATAGAAGAAAGATTGATTATAAACATATTGACTAATCTTACTAATCTACCTAATATTATAAATTAGATGGATGGATGTTTGTTAGAAGGTATCTCCAGAACGGCTGCATGGATCTCGCTCAGATTCAGCACAGACGTAGAACATAGTCTGAAAAAACACATAGACTACTAATTAAGTTTTTATTATTAAATTCCACGAGGACAGTCACGTGGAATCACGATAGATAACTAGTTGGCAAATTATTTGTTATAAATTAACATTAATATAAAAAGAAATAAAAATTATAAAACAAATACACGTGATTTAATAAAATATACCGCTTTAATAACTGTGTAGCAAATCTTAATGAAGAAAAACAAACCGTATATAGCGATGGGAGTTCATTGGCCTTTCGTTTATAATATCGTATTAATTTATATGCTGTTGAAATGTATTTACTATTAATGCCATATGTGAAACTAGAAACAGGATTCGCTAATAAGCTATTAACGAGGCTGAATCATTAAGTTCTTACTTGGCGCGAATGGATTTTTTCTGTTTGATACAGGTCTGCTCAAAAATAACAATTGCGGTTCGCTTTTTAATATCATTACATTTATAAAACACATCAAGACTACATAACAAGTAATTTTAAATTGTTCTTAATCTTTAAATTAAAAATATTTTATTTCAAATTTTACTACTAATACTAATATTCGCGTTTAATTCAAACTACTTTTACTATGTTATAATATAATATTAAATTAATATTAAAGTGACTAATTGACATACAAATAATATTGCTCGAAAGTAAGCTTTGGTCCTTAATTTTCATACGCCCATACATAATAATGTACCATTCTTGCAGATTTCAGTTTGGAACCCCTGGTGTAAATAAACGCACGCGGCAAATATAGATGTAACGATTTACTGTTTACTTTGTTAATATCAATTTTATCTTATCTAATCTATTCATCAACGACTAGAAATAGCTTGTTATAACGACACCGCATTTATCTATATATGTGAATGATTGTTTATATGGTTGTCCCCACCGTTCGTAAACCACTGGGCAAATTTTGAATAACGCATAATTTTCAGAGGATGGGAGAAAAATTGTGACTTAAAAGTAGAAGAACACAATATCTGGCCACTTACATTTTAGAACACTGATTGAAAATAACATATTTTTTCATAACACAGGTAATATATAAATGTGTTATTCGGTACTCGGGTAGCCTTATAATAAGACAAACAATTTTTACGAAAACTATATTTTTAAAGAACAAATAAGGAGATGTGCGGGATCAAATTTCTTTGCATAAAATAATCCGTTTAACACATAATTTAAAGAGTTCAAATTATTTTTGTTACGAAAAATATTACTCACATTATATTTTATTATAATAATAAAATTAAATATACTAAGCCGTGGTACAAATAAATTCACGTAATGTATTGCTCAGTGCTGTTATTTTAAAGCTTTTTAATGTTTCTCCTATTTAAAAAGTATGCTATCCATAAAGCCAAGCGTGGGCAGTAGGCGTAGGTACAAACATTAAATATGTCAAGAAATGCCAAATACAGTGTTTACGATATCACGCTTTTGTGAAAAACTGAGCTTTTATATCTCAAATGCAATCAAATAACGATTTGAGAATAATGTAACTGTTTTTTTATTGCTTATGGTACATTTTGTTTTCGTCTTACATCGTTTTTACTTTATAAAATTTAGATCTTTTAGCTTCGCGAAATCAGCACGAAAAAGGGACTATTTACCCTACCTTGGTGTCCACTCCTCCGTCAAATCTAATTTCCCAGCCCATCCTTTCTTTATATTTTTCTTTATAAGAAAAGTCTGTGAAAGGAAAGAGTACCAAAATTAGGCCCTCGACACGCACACTCGTCGGACGAAACCTTTACTAGAAACAGAACATAATTAGAGGGCTAAATAATTCTGCTGTTGATATAAATGGTGTTGTTATTAAAGTTCACTCTCGAGAGTCTTCCAACCTTTTATCAAATCTTGGAGTGATAGACACTCAATTACCCACTTCTAACCAACTCTAACTTACTTTAACAGTTGGTTGTAGTTACAAGAATATTTAAACAAATATACTTGAACTTGGTCGTTCATTTTGCGTAATGACTCAACCTTGAAAAGTGCACTTATGTATGACTGCACTTAAAAAGGAACAATGTTTTTGTATTTAAATATAAATGCAAGTTGCGTGTTCTCTAGCCACCGTCATATATCCGACAACCGCTTTCGTCGCCTCGTAACTCCTTATCCTGCTGTATGACATCACTTTGGAACGGATACGGGCGAAATTGCCTTCACCCACAAAGTTTACGCGTCTCATACATTGCTGTTGTTTTTTTTTGCAAACTAAAAACCATTAAAAGGAGGTGACTATAAGGGGAATCACGTATGCTCGGCGCTCGTTTGACCGTGTACACTTCCTACAAGACACCATAGAAAAATATTCATAAAAACAAAGTCAATAGTGAAAACTTTCCAACGAAAATGGCAATGGCACTACTATTAAAGGTAAGGTTTTACCTTGTTTATTCAATTAATTGTTTATGGATTTAGTAAAATTTCGTCGCGCGTTTACCTAGTTGCTTGTATGCTATCGTGCCTTTTATCTGATTTTTTTCAAAATAAATAAACTGTAATGCATACTAAATTTAGTAATAACATAATAATTTTGGTAAAGAAACAGCAGAATGACGTTTTATTTTGAAAATTCAATTAGCGTTAAAGCAGTACCTTATACCATTTTACGTGTGTTTAAAAATTTTCGAACTGTTGAAGAAATTAATTAAATCTGTAGAGTAAAATTTTGCATAAGTAGATGATTGTATTGATTTCTTTTTGTTTCTGCTATAATTTGATAAATTAACGTTCCATTAATCAAAGAATCATGACTTAATCCTACAAGGTATGTACGTTTCTATATCAGTTTTGATATATGAGGTCGTTTCTTACGTTAAAGCACGTCCGACATGGGATTACTTGGACACAAGACAAATTCCATCCATTTGTCAGGATGACGTTAATAATGAAAAAAGTTTGTTCTAATTGATATAATATACGGAATCATTTGTAAAGATGCGTAGTTACGCCCACTTCTTTAATCCAATTAATGAAGGTTTATAGTGGTTTTATATCTTTATCTTACTTCTTATTAATTTTATAAGACGAAGAACACATAGGCTACTAATTTTGTTTCTTAATAATTCCGAGCAGACGGAGTCACGTGCGTCATCTAGTTTGTAAATATTTATTAATTAAAATGTCTTCAGGTTCTGGTGATAGTGAGCGTGATGTTGTACAATAAAGGTGTACAATCAGCAACTAGAATTAAAAGACTCAGTTTGGCAGAACCAATGCCGACACATTACTATGGACAAGGTATATTTTTTAGTAATTTATAGATTAATTATTTAATATGAAATAATTAATTCTAAACTATTTATCTCTTCTTGAAGTAAACGATGAGGATTAGAGTGAAATAGAAAGAAGAAAGGACTGAAAGATATGGTTATTATAATGTTCCGTAATTATACAGGTGGTCCAGGATCTTATTCTTTTGGATATGAAGTGTCCGATCCAGAAACGGGTAATATCCAGTATCGAAAGGAGGAAAGATTTCCAAACGGAACCGTGATAGGTAGTTATGGATACTTGGATCCCTTTGGACGCACGCGCAACTATCAATATGTAGCTGATGGAGATGGTTACAGGTAAATTTTTGTACAGAATTTTTTCTCATATTCTGTGCTCTACATGAGCAACATAAAATCAAAGCGCCTGTGTATATAAATTAGCAAACTTGCAAAACAAAAATTTTAGAAATGTTCGATCAATAGAAAATGTCTTTTTTCTTACATTGTCATCATAACACATTTTTAAGATGTTATTTTTTGTGTTCATAAATTTGAAGTCTTATTAAATATATCCTTAGTCTCGAGCTAAGCTCAATTTCAAATATTTTAAGTTGACAATGGCGACGGAACGTCGCTTAAGTAATAAATTTACGAATAAGAAAAGCTCTTACACAATATAACACAAGTCCATATTTCCTACTTTCAATATCTTTGCAAATTTATATACAAGGAAACCATTTCCAGGGTCATAAGCAACACACCGAGAGAAGATAGTTTTGAAATATTCAATGGTCAAAAAGCGAGTACTGAATCTTCTATCACTTGGACGCGGCCTGCTAAGAAAAAGAAGAAAACACAAGAAGCAATGCCAACAAATGTTTTAAACTTGCTAACAAACAAGAACAAGTACTATCAACTGAAACCGCCAAGCTATTATGCGATAGAGTAAAGAGTACAAAATGGTATATACAATTGGAAATATACCAATAGTATGAAAAAACACACAAAACAACTGTGATTTTTTTCTTTTAAATTATTAAATTGTTACAAAAATCTCTGACGTTTATACAAAAACTATTTTGCAATTTAGAGAGCATACAAGACAGCTGTCAATATTAATAAAAATGTCCGAATGTGTTTAATAAAAATGATATTAAATAAACAGCAAAGTTTTTTGAAATTTATTATAATTTTATTTCTACTAAATCTAGTCAATTGTGAGTAAATTTTATTACATAAATAGTTGTGTAGGAAATCTTATATCTAGACAAATTTTCATGATAATTCATTGGACACAATCTACTTACAAAAGCAAGTAGTAGTTACTTAACAAAAGTGTGCTTACATATTGAACGATGTAAACTTTAACTTAACTTCTTGTGGAAGAAGTTGCGGTCTTGTAGAAGAAAGCTGTTATGTTATACTTACCTTTGATATGATTTGTATAGTATTTGGAGCATACGTCTGATGAAATTGTATTAAGAAACCTTCGAAATGGATCTTTAGACCACTTTTTATTTGTATAAATTTTTAACAATTTCCTATCCATCAGGTTATCCGGTAAACAGAGATAATTTAATTAATAAAATTAGCATAAAGGAGGAGAAACACTTTCCCAATGGCACTGTTACTGGCCATTATAAGTACGTAGATAAAGAAGGTGTTCCGGTACATGTAAGATATTACGCAGATGATGCAGGATATGGGTTAGTTATAAATTAGATTCATGTTATAAAACACGAAACCAATGAACGATTTCGTAGTACTCTTGTCCGCACATTTAATTATAAGGCATGTTAATACCTGAATTTATATAATAACTAGCTGTCGCCCGCGAGTCAGTCCGAGAGGAATTAAAAAAATATGTGTTCTTTCAGACTGTGTTCTACATTTATGCCACTTTTCACCAAGATTCATGTAGACATTCTAGAGATACCATCCATCTAAACATTCGCATTTATAATATTAGTAAGATAAGAGGTAGGTCGCTTGCTTGTCCAGCAAGCGGCAACCCGATTTCGCCCAAAAAATGGGGAAGTAATCTCTGCTCATAAATATCTGCAGGAATTTAATGATGCTCTTCATAACTTTATACCTTGAATGCCCGTCATTTTATCGGAATACTTATTGTTTTAGCGTTGAATTGAAAAGTATGAAAGTGTTCGACGGATCCAATGATCAAGACAACACACATTTAGACAAGCAACAAAAATTAGACAGCCTGTGGCCGCCGCTGGATTCATCAACTGATTTTCCACAGGACTATCCAAACCCTATTATAAGTAACCCCACGAACACAACCAAAAACAAGTTCCTCTCACTTAATGATTTGACTAAAGCTAATAAAGCTGTTTATCCGAAGAAAGCTTACAAAAACTCACCGGATTATGAAATATATTTGCAAAATGAAGTTCACGCACCGAAATGTGGTCAGAATAAAGTGCGAATTTATATAGACAAGGGCAAACGAAAATCTCGTGAAGCATCTAATGTGGCTACTTTTAAGTATTTCGACTAATTACTCTTGTATCTAGAAATAAAAATACCTAGTAAATAGTGTTTTCTAAATTTATTTTAAAACATTAATATAAACATGTATCTGTTTCTGGTCATCCAATAATTTATATATCGAATAGTATCTTAACAATAAGCATTCTGGACTCTTAAATACACTTGTAGGTTCCTGATTCTGACTGATATCTAAACCTTCTCCGATGTAGCTGTAACCTAGAATGTTGTCGCGTTTAACTTTTATCTGCAAATAGAGACGAAATGTAAACATTAAGTAGAATTTAAAGTTGATGATTAAAATAATTAAGACATAGTAGAATTGAATGAAAAAGAAAATTACTTAAATCAAATAACGTTGATAATAATTTGAATGAATAAGTGAGCTGAAATAAAATTTACGAAGAGTGAATTGAATAAGGAAGTTAACGAGTCCATTGACGGTGTTGTAGTTGGCATGCACGTCGCGCACTGCCTCGGAACCGATTGATGCATCCGAATGGAGCGATGAGAAAACTTGAATTTCTGATTCGCCGCGTTCCGCCACGATAGTTACGTAATGATAGATTCAGATAGCACTATTTTATGTATCTATCTTCTATATAAAATGTCGGTTACAATGACAATCTTACTAATATTATAAATGCTAATGTTTAGGTCGATGAATGGATGGATGTTTGTTTTAAGATATCTCGAGAACGGTTTAACGGATTTCGAAGAAATTTGGCATGGACGCAGTACATAGTCCCGAGGAACACATAGGTTACAAATTGAATGTTTTAATCTGTGCGGATGGAGTTCCGGGCGGCAGCTAGTTTACTAATAAAAGCTTAAGTAAAGTTTTGTAAAAACACTATAGTCATAGATATGATAGCAAAAAACAACTTACAGAGCACAATTGTTTAAATTCAGTTAATCTACAAATCCAAATTATTATGTCCTCTTGCGTTTCTTTTACTTGCTGAAAGAAAGATTTTTTTTAAATTTCGCATTTAAGAATCTTCAACAGTAAAAATTTGTACATTGTTAAGAAAATCATACCTTTATGTCAAGATCTGCATCTCCGTTTTTATCTGGTAGTCCAAGGTTCGTGTTCAAATTGTTTTCAGATTGCCTATCTTCTTGGATTGCGTGACTTGCATGCACTTTAGCTGCCATAAGCAATAAAGTAGCCTTACTTCTAGAAAAACATGTGACATGCGATAAGTAAAAATTTTTCTATACATTATAAATGCGAATGTTTGTATGGATGTTTGTTTGAAGGTATCTCCAAAACGACTGAACAAATCTCGATGAAATTTGGCATACATATAGAGCATAGTCTAGAAGAATACATAGGCTTATTAATTTTTTTTTATCCCGGCGAGTTGCGGGCGACAGCTTAATTGTTATGATACTTACCCTATTGGATTTATAATAGCCACACATTTGGTATCTTTAGACAAATTTATTGGTTTTAAGTAAATCTTCAAAGTTTTCTTAATGTTAATTGGTAACGTGGCTATTTCTGAATGATCGAAATTGAAATGTTTCAATATTGAATTGAATGCAACTGTTTTTTTGCAGTGGGACATGGGACAAGTAATTGGCCTGAAAATGTTTTTTACTTAGTTACAGATTTTTTTTTTATATCAAAAGGTGGCAAACGAGCGAGCGGCCACCCGAAATCGCTGAAATAGCGAAGTAACCGTTGCCCATAGACATACGCAATTGCATATGCGTTGCCTACCTTTTATCGACGGAGGAGAGGATGCACAGAAAGAAAATATCTTCCCTTTCCATGCATCCTCTCATCCGGAAAGTCCACTTCCACTTCCCATCCTTTCCTTATAAGGAGAGGATGGGAAGTGGAAAGAGGTCTAAATTAGACCTCCGGGACGCACACTCATCAGACGAAACGCGGAATTGCTTCCACTTCACGCCTGTCTTCTGTGTGGTCGTGGTATTTCACCGGGGGAGCTGGGCCGATTCGTGCGAAGATGTTAAAGCGGGCTCTACCACTGTAAAAGATTTATTTATAAATACATTTTTAGACTTAGAATATTAACCTTATATTTATTTTTTCTATCTCATTATTAGTGCTGATAGGGCTATTAATTAGACTCTTTACACTTTCGTTGTTATCGAAACCCAAATTCTTGTAAACTACAGTTGTTTCATGTTTATTACTCGTACGGCTAATGTTCTGAAAATCACATTTGTAAATCTATATTTTTATACTTCGTTAGTTATTAAAAAAGAAAACAGCTTGTTTATTTCAAAGAAAGTGTTGGTATAAGTAAGTTGTGAGCTCGAAGAATGAGAAATTTTATAGATAAAAAAACTATAAATAGAATGATGACCTTTTTAACATAATTTGTTTTATCAGTTCCTTCATGCTTGTATTTGCTTGTTTTTCTTCTAACTTTTTCATCAATCGCTTTATCTGTGAAAGTAATACGTTAATTTTATCAATTTGGTTTTAAAAAGTTTATAGTTAATTTAAAGTAATTATTAAACGTACTAGACTTTATTTTAATGTAATCACCACCCGCTAAATAATGCGCTGCATTATATTCATTATCAGTTTTAATTTCGTTCGAGTTGTCCTTTTCAGAAACTTCGCGGGTATCATTTAAGTCGCCTAAAAGTATAAAAGCAATTAGGTCAAGTACGAGTAACATAAAAAAAATAAAGACTTCGTAATTAAAATAAAAAAGTATTAAAACCAAATCCATGTTTAAATGAAATACCGTCGCAATTTATACAAATAGTATGACCAGATTCACAGATATATGCGCTGCGCTTTGGTGTTATATTTTTGCACAGTTCACATTGTAAGGTTGCTGTATCAAAAATCTGAAAAATATCATGTTTTAGTTACTACAATCTTATTAATATGTTGGATGTTTGGATGAATGTATGACTGGATGGATGTATGGATGTTTGTTAAAAGGTATCTTCAGAATGGCTCAATGGATCTCGATGAAATTTGGCATGAATGTAGAACACCATAGTCTGGCAGAACACGTAGACTACTAATTAAGTTTTATTCTTAATTTGCGAACGGAGTCGCGGGTAACAACTAGTTATAAATAATAAAGCTTGTAGAGAATGTTGGCCTACCACGTGTGGTTTATCACTTGTCCTCCCTTCACAAAGATGATCTACTTTAAGTGTATCAGTAGTTCTCTAATTCAGAAGCCAAGAAAGTTGAAAATGTAATTCGTTTAAAATAATATTAGAATCAGATTGAATCGATACTCAATTCAAATGGACACACAAGTCTCTGGAATAAGGGATTATATGTCCCGGGGTTATTGTTATCTTAACACGGACTGGACAAGCACCCATATCATGCAAATTGATGTAGGTATTCTATCGGGATTGATTATTTGTCATTGTTGCTTGACATATCTCGATTTCCATCAATTTTAAGTAGACTATTATGTTATACTAGTCGTAGCCCGCGAATCCGTGCACGCAAAACTAAAAAACCTGAATTCGTATCCTATGTGTTCTACAGCTATGCCAAATTTCAGCGAGATCTTTGCAGCCCTTCAGGAGATACCTTCTAACAAACATCCATAGATACAAACATTCGCATTTATAATATTAGTAAGAGAAGTACCAGGGCAACATAGATGATACGCCTGCCTATAAAACGTCATAAAGTACCTACGTGTATTGCTTTACAATTTATTTACATAGTACACGTGTTACATAAGATTATGTAGTCGAGTTTATAATTCTATATGTTAGTTCATGTTAATTTTGTTCTTCACAGTACACTACTTCGGTTTATTTTATTAGGAGCGAATCTAGCGAAAGTGACTTCGATTCGTCTTAATAACATAACTATGTAAAGTAGGTTACGAATCCGGACAATACTTGAATTTAAAAAAAGTCACGTTAACATTAACACGAACAGGCGCAACAACAAAACTATTTCCGGTTATGACAAACAAAATAGATACCTTGTTAAAAAACATTATAAATAATAAATAAATATATCAAAATCGTAGAAAATATTTTGACACCTTCATTGAAAGAATACTTTTTAGCGAGCACAGGTAACATAATTTATGTTATTAATAACAATGTAACCTCTTTGATGCTGGCCTGGTAGATTTTTTTTTATTTTTTTCATAAGACCGGTAAAACTCTTTAAACCACCTTCTCGTTTCATTTTCTTTTTTGTGTGATGAAGTGTCTATTGCCACACCTAAAAGAATTAAACCACGCAATGTTCATACCACATATCTACGGAGCTACGAAAATGTACATAATAATTGTGTACATTAGCCACCATAATACTAAAGAACCGTGATTATCAAAAATAGTATAATAGTTATCATAGAAATAAATGCTGGAATCGTATACAGGAATTACGTCAAAACTCAGTACAGTAGAGTTTGTTAAACCAATTCTGTTTCAGTGCCAATAAGTAGGTGACTATGTTGCGATCTAAAATAACATATTGTTAAATAAATTAAGCGTAGTAAGGAAAGCGTGACACCAATGGACACCAAAGCTTACGCAACTCCTCACGCATTAGTGACATATTGTAATGCAATATTTTATGGTATTGAATTAGTTTAATAGAAAATAACGTTACTTGCAATATTTTATTAAGTAACAGCTAATAAGTTACTGCTTTGATTTCAGTTAAGCACAATACATAATAAAAAAATATATATTTATTTTTTAACTTAAAAGATAAATTAAACATTGATTTATTTAGTTATGTAATGTTTAACTTTTAAAGCAGACGAAAACAAAAAACATCTCAGTGCAATCTAATAGATCTGGTTTCCGCAACATACACTATAACATATGGATATTTCCTTTTAAAAGAGATCGTCAACCTCTATACCATTAAATTATGTCTGTAGCTATCTTCTAAAATTAATTATTAAGTCTATGGGTATGGGTAAGATACGGGTTGTTAATATAATATAATAATAAGTACTAGAAAGGGATGCCATTGGCACCTTAAAGTTTAACCTAGTTAAAGAGCCAAGCCTTAACTTAGGGTAGGCTCCGAGCCCCTCGGTGGGGACGTATAGTGAGCTGAAGATGAAAGAGCCAAGGCGATATTGATGCTAAAACAATTTAGGTACGCAATAAAGAATCTTTATTAATATTGAAATTAATAACTGTTGCAGGAAATAAGTCGTCGCATCTTCGTTTGACATATCATTTTTTTCTTCAAAAACAAGGTTTTCATACTGCATGTAATGTTACATATAACCAGTCAATCATGCAATGCCATAACCAAAGTATTTAAATCGTAATAAAGCAACGGCGCTTGTTATGTTGTATGTATTGTTCAACAAGACAAAGAATCATTCACACGTCATTTTTATCTAGTTTTAATGACTGGTAGAGTTTTGAATATTAAAAAAAAACAAAACACCATGAGGTAAGGGTTATGCGTAACAGTATACGCTTAATGATGCTGTAATAATTTCATATCTCACTAGCTGTCGCCCGTGACTCCGTCCGCGTGGAATTAGTAAAAAACTTAGTGAGTAGCTTATATGTTCTTACAGACTATGTTCTACGTATGTGCCTTATTTGATAAAGATCCATTGAGCCATTCCGGAGCCATACCTTCAAACAAACATCTTTCCTTTTTCCATCTCAACATCCGCATTTATTATATAAGTAAGATTTGTATTAAATTCATTAAAACAGTGCTAAGTAGTTATGTTTAAGGTTAAGTTATTCCTTAAGTTATTTATTAAATTATAATAGCGTTTAAGTAACAATTTTACGCGACGTTTTTATGATTTGTGATGGCATTATACTGAGTATATTTCGTTATTTTTACTCTTGTAGGATCACGTCTGATATAAAGCCATTTGACTATTAAATTTAACATATTTTTCGTAGTATTCAGAATGCTTGCAGTAGCCCACCACTGTCCGTACACTCTCATATAAATGCACAGAGACGTTTCACTTGCTACATTCAATGCATTGACTCCTAATCGCGTCGTACATTTTGTACGTTAATTTTTTTTTACGTGCCAAACTCGATTTGTGTTTCGATTTTTGGATTTTATTGACAGTGGTTTTGTTTAAACATTTATACAATGGTGTTCAAGGTAGGCTGATTAAAATTATATTATTATAATTATAATTTAATCCTTTTTATATTGTAAAAGTCTTAAATTGTACATTGTTTTTTTTACTAAATATTAAATAAATGAAGCGTCTTCTATTTATTACTAGTTTGCAGTGATTTTTTAATTTTTTTTGTTCCTGTTTGATGCGTTGGTGTTAACAAGTACTAATTAAATTTATTAGCATACGGAAATTTTATAACTTCCTATATCGCGGTGGTGCGAGTCGATTGAAAGTTATCAAGTGAAAATTTATAATTTAAGAAGTGTTCTTTACCCCTAGTTTGTATAATTTTCTTATTGTTAGATATAGACTAACTCATTTCAATGGTCTTTATTTTCTAAATGTAAAGTTCCAAATCGATAAATAATAAAAATTATTGTGTACTTAGTATATATCAACTTTACCTTTTTGTAACATCGGATCCAAGAATCACATAAAATTATTTTATGTCATTTTATTTCATATCTTTAAAAATAAATAAAACGCTAATGCGTCATGTGCCGATTTGAGGTAGTGCGTGATGTCAGCCTAATGATAAAGGACTGTTTCATCTATACTTTCAAAATTTCTAAACATACTAAATTGTTTTATTCCAGCTTGTATTGTTAGTGTTGTTCGCGGCGTGCGCTCACGGTCGTCTCTTCACATACTACCGGCCTGCGGACCTTCATCCGGAGCCCGCCCTCGTCCACGAGGAGCCACAGCTCGTGTTTGATCATCATCACATATCTGAAGATGAACACGTTGATTATTATGTAAGTATTTAAAATCTATTAAAGCTTAAAGATTATGAGAAATTTTTTGCTTTCAATCAATGTCTACTTTGTAATAGTCGCTTACTACAATAGAGTGGTTTAAGTTAAAGATTCCTTAACATGTGTTATAAATTAAAGTAGTTTTTTTTAATTGGAATCCTTATTCGGCTTTGGAGAAAAGGGATGTGAGCTTTTTAATGCTATTATTGTATTGCAAATCCGCTTATAGTATTTTGAATGGGCAAAATCAAGGCAAAGTCAATGAACTCTAAACTAACCTCTGTTCACATATCGGGTTCTCCAGCAAGTTCCGCTCCGATTGCACTTTCCTTCGATCACTTTCTTTGATACAACCTTTACCGTTTAACTGGCAACTTCTATTTTTAGATCTACTGTTCATTTCTATAACTGAATTGCTATGTTTTTAAATGTACCACTAAATTGTAGAGCATCTCGGGTTCTATTTACGAATAAGAAGTGTCGTTACATATTTGTTGTGTTAAAAACCATAGTACGAGTTGCATGTCTAACTGTGAGTTTCAGAGACCTAAATCTCTGTATAAAACGTATCAACATCTCTATCACATTTCACATAGAGATATAACAATTTATTTAAACCGGGAATTTCGGTCTCAGAAACCTGGCAATGTATCATCAAAATTAACTCCTCAAATACTCAATTATCTTTAAAAATATGTACTTATAATTATACTTTTAAGTTTATTACTTTCATAACTTTCAACCATATTAGCAAAGCAATATATCACTAAGAAAATTGTACATATATGAAATGACGTTGTTTGTATCATAAAATGTCTTACATCCAACTATAGTTTCAGTTGTGGCTTTCTCTTAATTGCACCAAACAATGGTTAAACGTTTCCACCGAACATCGTGTGCAATGCAAGGTGCAAGTAAAAAGACTCTTTCATCTCTTTGTGACGAAAGGATTTCTCACAGACGAGGTTGCTCTTCCTGTGAAATATACCGACGCGTCGGTTGAAATGTTACTTGCCATTTGTTTGGTACAAACATAAGCGGAAATAAACTTTTATATAAAACGCTTTTCTTAATAAAAGTCGCTTTGCTTTTGGGGCCAATAGAAATTAACATTAAGATGGATTATATTGCAGATTTTTATAGTTTTTTCTTTTTTTCGATTGAGAAAGAGTGTGATGGCTATATGTTTTTTGTACAGTTGTGTCATCGTACAGTCCTTGAGAAGGAATAGTAGAGTGTTAATCTTACTATCTTACTAATTTTACAAATACGAAAGTTTGTATGGATGGATATTCATTAGTAGGTTAATAAGAGGATGACAACATGGATCTGGATAATATTGGTATACATGCAAAAAACTGTCTGTCAGAATAAGTAGGCTTAACAAGTTCGTTTTTTTAATTCCGCACGGACGTAGTCTCGGTCAAAAGCTAGTCTCTACTATAGTTTATTTAAGTCACAAGTGCCTCGCATAGCTTTTCTTCAGTTATAATTTATTTTAATTTATAAAGACTAATGAAATCAGATTCTAACGTTTTCTTAACGTGATGAAATTTTTCTGCATTCTAATTAAGTAACATAATTTCAGTCGATAAAAAAGGAAATTAAAATGTAACAATCAATTTAAAATTGCAGACACTTATTTGCTTGACGTAAGCTTGAGTAATATAACTTAGGTAATGTTCCCCGCTCTTCGTTGTTCACTTGATAACAGCGTGACGAAGGAAATGTCGTTGCGCAAGCGCACGTAAGTGTTTTTGCCGTTTACATTGGGAGCGTCGAAGCGCTAGGCATTTCTAAAGAAATTTGTATTCTAGCACTTCCTTAAATCAATGCCAATTATCTTTCTATGCTTCATTTGCTCTTTCGGCTGAATTTGGAACATGCTTTTATGAGACATTTTCTAATTCCACGAATATTTTTCTTCAATAGTAGTATAGAGTTGAAACAATTTAACTTAAGTTGCTTATCGACTCGTTGGACATAATAAAACTGGCATGACGTCACGATAACTTTTTTAATTAACAAAATATTTATAGTTTACAAAGCTTGCTATAGAGGGCGCATGCGTAGTGGTATATGATCGTAATATTTTGTAACTTTGCTACATGTTGTTAAAAATAGGCATCTTTATGTTGTCTTATTAAAGTGAAGATGCTCCGATTGCAATAAGACAAATGTTATTAAATCATTTTGTTTATAATTACAGGCGTATCCGAAATACGAGTTCAAATACGGCGTCAATGACTTCCACACGGGGGACATAAAGACACATCACGAGAGTCGAGACGGTGACGTCGTCAAAGGTAATTAGTTAATTTTATAACATTCGATGATGTATGTTGATATCTTATATACCAAAATGAGTTAAACCTAGCACTATCTTGAAATAGGTGCCGTAAAAATCCTTCCTAAGTTTACTAAGGGAATCAAACGTCCTATTACTTAATGGAATTAAAGCTCGGATTTAAGTCGAAGAATTAAACTAACTGCAACGACTTCTTAGTAATATAATACGATTAATAATAATAATAGTAATAAAAAGAACACATATGTTAGCACTCGCATAATTTTCAGTATTTTATAAATACTCTCATTTTTCCTTACAGGTCAATATACAGTAGTGGAACCCGACGGCTCGATTAGAACTGTGGACTACACCGCGGACAAACACAATGGTTTCAATGCTGTTGTGCACAGGACCGCACCAATAACTCCACACGAAGCAGCCCACTACAAATTCGCAGAGCATTAAATTTTTGCCAATCAGTTTGGAAATCATTTTTGTTTTTATGACTATGTTTTCTTCGTAATTAATACTCCTTATTTAATTGGTTAGTAACTCTTTTGTTTCTTATTTATTTCCGTTGTAACACAGACTATGTTATTTAGTTGTAAGTTAGAAATGTAATATTTTCGATTGGATTCAATAATTCCGATCTCGTTGTTATTTCTTGGTTTATTTATTGTTGATGTTTTTATGCGTACCTGACTTATCTTTAAATGTGTTACAATTAAGAAATTGTAAATTTTAGTATAAGTCGCAATGTTACAGTGTAATTTTTTGTCAATAAAATTTATTGAAGTTTAAAATATCTTCTTTTAATATTAATTATTTTATGTCATAAAATGTTGTGTTTGTACATATTTACTGTATGAATTTCCAATTAATTCTGCAGTCCTGTCTGGTGTGAATATAAAATTAAAAAATTTTAGAGGAAGAATAGAAAAATACCTGGACTTTCTGAACTTACAATAGGGTAAAATATTTATATAGCTAAATTATATTAAAGCCGAATTAAAGAAATGATTTGTAGAGTTCTTATATTTAGACTATACATAACGCGACATAGAAATAGAGTACTAACTTCAGCGCCCCGTGGTAGACGTTTTCAGAACTAATAAACACTTAACAAGGTTTCCACAGTACAAGTTATCAATACGGCCACAGATGGCGCTGTTCTAAGTTTACTTTATTTGAAACATGATACATGAAAAAACTATTTTTTTAATTGTATAAACAGTCATATTCCTTCATATTACTGTCAATTATTTCCTCTTTAGAAATATACAGAATAATTGATGATTGATTAAATTGACATATTAATGAAAAAAATACAAAGAAATCACATTTTCGAGGTGTCTCAGCTCCAGCTTCTATGCGTTTAGTTTTCCAAAAGATCTCCTATCTTAAATACATATGTACAAATTGAATTTCATTTTGAATTGAAATTGAAATTTGTATAATTAAACAAGTGGCGAGTGTTTATTAACTATTTATTGAATAGTTACTTAGATAATAAATATAAGAACAATAGCGTGCGTTATGGTAGCAAACACTTATGTCCAACAAAAATCCAATGAATAATTGTTGCCAGCATAGGAAAAATTTTTTACTAATTCAAATGTTGCCAATACAAAATAAATTAATGAGAATAAAATAAAAACAATAAATAACTTATGTGAATTAATTGAACAAAATTGAATTTATGACTTTTATAATAGAATAATTTTTGTTTGTTACAAAAGCTTCAACAAGTATCTTAATTTCCATTAGCCATATAAAATGTATGGAATATATTGTATATTTAAGGAATTGCGAAGTAACATTAGTGTAATTGTTGCATATCGATACCATAGTACAGACGTTTGCGTGCTTTTAGCAAGCATTACACAATCATGTCTTCGTTCACTCCATTTAACGCCCTAGTTTTCATGGGAACCGAATCAGTTCCTAGATGTTAAAGTCTAACTTAAATATCTTCAAACACTATCTGATATTGAAGAATGAAAGAATACATAATGGTATGGTGATTGAACTTTGGGGTCTGGGGAATATTAACCTTCTTAGTAACGTACTCAAGATACATCTTTTATATAAAATTCTAGTGTCACAATGTAAGTTATCATATTCCTCGGAAACGACTTGAACAATTTGAAATTTTATATGCATATTCAGTAGGTCTGAGAATTGGTCAATATCTATTAAACCCGCGCGGACAAAGTAGCGGGCGACCAGCTAGAGCTAGTTAATATAGTAATATAATAACATGAGACAATATTGGGAAAATGCATTACATTGTTTAAAAGCTTTCTTAAATATCTTCATAATCACGGAAGTGTTCTGTTATAATCTAGACTGAAGGCTGACAGAAATCCAGCATATGCTAAGAATGTAATCAGCATGCGCTGGGTCATTGAGCCGTGCGAAACTTTTCTTAATTATCCGCCGCGTGCGGTGCTCGCGAGGAAACTTCGTTTTCGGAAGAAGCCAAGCTCCGCCCACCAAGGCTGTCGTTCACTACTGAATAAGGCCACTTATAAATACATGTGAACCCCCTATTGTACTACTCAGGGTTCAGACACATAGTAAGCCAGTCGTATCTTAAGATCTTATTTAATTTTTATAATACAATGTGGAGATATCAATGCTTGTTGTTAGTGATATTGCAAGTTGCATTTGCCAGACCAAAGATAAATTTAGGCTTTGAACACGGCTACAATGATTATTACGTAAGTATGTTTACGATATGTTCAGATACACTTGTACTAGGTCCAATATGACTTGATCCATTACTTGAACCATCATTATTTTATTTTTACACCACTTGATCATAATGGTATATTTTCTGTTGCAATTTTTATTGCAACAATTCTATACATTTCGCTAGTATAAAGAAGACTTAAAATTATAGAAAAAAAAATGCTTAAAGATTAAAATAAAGGCTGAGTTAGTAGGCCGTTATGCGTCTTTGGAAATATATTTAGGTAGAAAATTTTTGTTTAAAAATTTAAATTAACTCTAAAATATCTCGGTTATTACCTAAATCAAAGCGAAGATTTAATTTTAATTAATTGATTGAAGTTTAGGCAATACGTAATTAAAGATTTATAACTGATGTCGCGTATCAAACCTATTTAGGTGGCAAAAATATTATGAAATCAGCATAACAAACTTTTTAACGTAGAGTTATTTAAAAAAAAGCATGTGAAATTGTAAATTCAATAGCGCACATATTTCCTTTAATTCCGATTTATACAATAGGGTGTTTGCTGTGACTTCCCATGCGTTACATTGATGTTACGTCTTTTCATTGCAAAGTTACATTATGTAACTCATATAGATGTACTATATGTTTATGTTGTTTATTATAGAAACATGTCTGACTGGGTTTTAACCCACATTTTCTAATGCGTGTAAACACTATTTAAAACCTTATTAAAATATTGAAGATAAGACTTAAGTGTGTACGTAATTACTCTAACCTAGTAGTAAGAAAACTATGGGTTATGACTTCATTTTATATGATCTTGAATGTTTCTGCCATTTTATCCCTTTCGGTAAATGCTTCTATGAGAAATAAGCGGTGCTTACAGTAGTTTATATTAGCAATTCTAGTCCAATGAATCGCTTAACATTTAGTATTATAGGAAAATCAAGAAATAATTAAGACTTAATGAAAATGATGAATTGTAAATTATCGACATTACTTCTATTTCCAGGAACGTCCACAATATGCTTTCACATATGGAGTCGCTGATCATTCGACGGGTGACGTGAAGTCGCAACATGAAAGTCGAGATGGAGATGTCGTCAAGGGTTTGTTTCTCTTCTTAAAGATCTTTGATTATAATAATATAATACAAACAATATGAATATGCTGGTAATCAACAATTGTTTTTTATTGGATTAACAAATCGATAGCGTACCATTTGTTTATTTGTATTATAAGAAGGGTGGACTTTATGTTACATTACGAGGTACAAGGCAATTTTTTTTATAATAAGAATACCACGAACGAAGCGCACATAACATACAGCAGTCTATTCTATTTGTCGATATATGTATTTATAAATATTGAACACTTACTTTGTTTTCCAGGACAATATTCTTTAGTGGAGCCAGATGGTTCTATACGTACTGTGGACTACACAGCAGACCCTGTGCACGGCTTCAACGCGGTCGTGTCCAAAATTGGGCCGAGTGTGCACGCGGCGCCTGTACACGTAACACCGATACCTCCAGTCCCGGTGCAACCTATAATAGGCGTTCTGCCCAAACCAGTGCAAGTTGTGCCTAAGCAAATCATATACGCGTCTCCAGCACCTTATGGTAAGACTTGTGTTGTGTTGGATTTGTTATTTTAACTACGAGTACTGGGGTTTTAAACCGGATTTAGTCATAATTACTAAGTTCATTAGTCTCCTAAGTTTAGTTAAGAGGAGTATTATGCATTTTGTAAGAGATTCCGAAGTCCTTGAACATCGTAGTCAAGTTTACCGGATAACGTTTTCTTTAACAAATACAATATTAAATATCAACCGAAAATTTGTTACTTATAAAAAAATCATGGTTGACATGGTCTAAGAAGCTCACGTCTATCCAGTAGCAATGAACAATCAAGGTTTCGACACAATTCTTTCAATCATGACTCGAAACAAAAACGTAAAGCATTGTTAAAATATCCTTGTTCTAATCGTCACCTAAAATTAGACGGGTAATATACATAATGCAGTATTGAAAGTCAGTTTATGGTCTCTTGTGACACAGATTTCTTACACTAAATCAGCATCTCCATTTTAGACAATTAATGGTATATCTTATAAATATTATAAATGCGAATGTTTAGATGGATGTTTGATTGAAGGTATCTCCAGAAATGCGGCATGGATCTCGCTGAAATTTGGCATAGATGTAAAATATAGTCTGGAAGAACACATAGGCTACTTAAGTTTTTTTTAACACGACAACTAACACTTGATAATTGTCTATGAAGTGACCTAAATATAGCTATGTTATGAATTGATATAATTCAGTTTTATTACAAACTATGTTCAGTAAAGTCTCACAGACTAAAAAACAATGTGTAAAACAGATAAAATAACGTCAGTACGGGTATGCCTAATTAGCGGCGGATAACGAATCGTAACTCCATTGTGTTGGGCGCACCATTGTTTATTCTTTGCGAAAGGAATTCACCTTTTGTTTTGTTTTTCAGCTTTTCCCAAGGTCGAGGGGCCGCACTATCCAGAATATGACGAATTTGAACTCGACGGACCGTATCAATTGTCATCAAAGAATTTTTATTAGGTTCCCATATTCATGTTACATATTGTTATAATGAAAAGGTATTGTTATAGATGGTTACGTGCGTATATTGCGTAATGCTTTTTTTAAATTTGAAATGTATAATGCCTTCTTTGATCTTTGTTGTTGATTTTTATTATAACAGATCTGTCAACTATTTAATAAAAACATTTATATTCTAATTGGAAATTGAATTAAATTAGCAATGAAAATTCATTCAGTTTTTGTATTTTACAGTTAAATATATGAACAATTAAATTTTTGACATTTGTTAACCATAGTAGGGTGTGTTTCACAAAATTAATTTTCTTTAATTTTTGAAACATACATATGTTATGGCCAGTTCCAATATTAATAAAATATTAAATTCGACTTTGAGATTTTTTATATAGTA